ATATATATATATATATATATATATATATATATATATATATATATGGACAGGTGTTTGTGACATCTATAGAAACGGAGTTGTTTTTAAATAGCAACCATGTGGACTACATGGTCTGCAGCCTGCCATGTGATGTGACTCCACCATGCTAAAATTGCCACGTGGCATAGGGCAACAACTCTGGTTGTAATGAATTCTGTTTATCTCTATTTAGACTTTAAAAAAAGTCTCATTTTTAAACTGGTATGATTTTTTTTTTTATATAAAAGGTCTCGGTTATATTGTTATACGGTGTATATGATGGTAAAATTTTTGAATTATACAAGTTGACTCAGATTAACAAGCAACTGTATTGGTGAGTCTGGAAATGGGTGATTCTAAAAATACTTCAAATTGGGATATATTAATTTTAGAGATATTCGATTGTTTAATATGTTAGAACTTGGTTATGGGAAATTGTTTATGCTCCACAGTGCTATACCACAGGAGGTAGCAGCACCAGCAGTGACATCTAATAGCGATGTTTTAAATTGCTTGCTACGGCCTTAACAACACGTGGCTGGCTGCCATGTTGGTCGAGGGATAAAGAGAGTGGAGTCATGGTTTCACTGCCATCTCACCTAAGCACAGTCACATGACTGGCAGCCATCTTGGTTGTGGGAGAATCATGGTCCACCGCTATCTTTGTTGAGGGCTGCCAACTGTGTTCAGTATCTTGTTTATTGCCAAGTGCAACTTCTGTCCTTTAAGCTTTTGCTGTTCAGTCATAATAACACAATATGCTAAGATCAGCAAGATTTGCCAGTCCTTCTATAACTGTATTTATGATTGAAAGTTGTACTTTGATTTTAGTTCAGAAATGTATTTAAAGTTACTCTAATAACTGATGCACTTGGTTACAAGACTGAGCTTTACCTACTCTCTTGTTTATGTTTTCAAGGTTAAGCCTAGGTTGCATAACTACAAAGTTTGCCTTTGTAGATCTACTTGGAATAAATATGGTCCTAAAACACTTATCTACAGATGATGTCATAATTATAGATTATAACATTCTGTTTTACAGGATGCATTTTAGAGCAGATAACTAAAGACAGACAAAAATTAACTCAGATATGCTGGCTCTCAAGCTTGTCAGAGATATGCTGAATATGGCATTTAATGTACGTAGGTTTGATTATTATTTGCAACAGACAGAGAGTCCCAAATCTTAGCTCGCCATGGTCTCTGAGAAGATTTGGGCAAAATGACAGATGACTTCAACTCTGGATTGTGGTATGCTGACCACTGGGCAAGACTGCCCCAACTGGCCCGTTGCTGGGGTCCAACCTAAACTGTAGACAAAACTGGACACCTAGAGAGTTATTGTCTCATGTTGCTGATGGTGAATTTCTCATGTTCTTTTTCCATAGAAACAGTTTCTCCTCTTCTGTGTCTGAATGCCAGAATACCTCTCCTCATGATGCCATGAAACTATAGGAGCTAAGGACAACTGTCTAGGTGGTAAAATAACTAGTCATCTCTGTCAATTTTTATTGATACATAGATTGATCTAGGTTACAATTTTTCCTTCTCAGGTCTCTGATTACTTTGATAGTGAAGCTAAGCTAACGGTAGCTTTGCAGCTAAAGAGCAGACAATTATATCCATAGGCTTCATGTTAACTGCCTGTGTCTTATGGTGAATAACTGGATAGAAAGATGTAAAGTTTATGTAAGGTCTGATGATTTGAAAGTTTACGTTATGAGGATGTTTCAAAGTTGGTAAATCCAAGCAAGATTGGAGGGTCTGAGAAGGTGTTCTAAGATACATAAATGCAAGAATTTCTGTATATAAGATGTATATATTTATGTATACATACATAATTATGTATGTATACATAATTATGCATACAAGTATGCATAAAAATTATGTATACTTATATTTATGTATATATTTATATATAAATATGTATATATTTATGTATACTTTCTTATGCTATAAGAAAGTAATTTAAGGCATATTGAAAATGAAAAATGTTTCAAGAGAAACTAGATTTCTCTCCTCCCTCTATACTATTGCTTTAGTTATGTTTAGTTAAGATTTCAGAAGTTCAGAGTTTTGACATTGATCAGTAGAGTTCTGATAAGCTGATGGAGCACTGACTGCTTATTATTCAGTCACAAGCTTGAGGTTTTAATTTCCCTTTGGTTGTCTTCTGGGTATAGATTTAAAAGTGATTCTCAGCATCTCTGTCTAGTGTGTATATCCCTGACCCAAAACTGTAGATTTTACCAGGTCTTAATGGCATGAGTCTACTCCTGCTGTCTTATAGACACCTATTTACTGCTTTTTCTAAAATATGGATCTCAATACAATGGTAATACTAACATACTTCCTTTCGTAAACCAAAATTCATATGAATTTCAGAAAATCAAAAAGTCATAAGACCTTAATTTACCACAGCTCAAACAGACCCCAGAGGAGTACACTTGCCTGTTCTTGAAAATGGGATTTTTCCTTGATCTTGGGATTCCTCACTTCCCCAATTACTAGACAATTTTAACTTTTATCTCTTGTCTATATTTGTGTCAGCAGGTTTCCACCTGGCTGACAGACTCCATTCAGGGACTACCTGTGAAATCTGGACTTGTTGAAAGCTGATGTAAATCAGTTCAGCTGATGTGATGGTTCCCTATCTCTGCAACTGGATCACTAATCAGATGCTTCTGATAAGTGCCCCATTGTCTAGCCTTTGACTAGCATTTCAGCCTTCCCGGGACCCTGATAGCATCATTGTAATGTCAGCTAGAAAAAGTTACAGAATAGAACTCTTCGACCATTATCCCACCTAACAGGCTGAAATGCTAAGTCAAAAGGGACTCCCTGGTATAAGGAATGTTTTCCTACAATGCCAATTGACATACCAGAAATTGGCTCTCAGTTATGTTTCTCTCCTGGTTGTGCTTTGTGCTCCTTTCATAAAATTATGCCTAGAATTAGACAATTAAAAAAAAAAAGATCAGGTGTCCACAGTCCTATTCATGGTGTTAAAGTCTCAATACCAGCCCTTGGACCCATCTCAAAGATTTGAGATGGAATCCTATTCAAAGGGAGAATGAGAGAGCCTGGCTAAATAAGTCTGACAGGCTTCATTTTCTTTCTAGACAGAACAAGCCTGAGTTTTCCATTCCTCAGAAAAAGAAACTTCATTTGCAGGAAAAACCGTAGAAACTGGCTGGGCCAGGACAATTGGCCTAGGGAGATAAGATTGCTTAGCTACTGCTCTGAGACGCCCCTGATCCCTGATCAGAGTCACAGAGCCTCCATGGGCACCAGCCAATCTCAATTGATGCTATATAGCCACTGTAGGAATTCCTCTCTCTGGCTTTAAAAGTGGCCTTTAACTTCCTTGCAGGCTGTCACCATATTGTGAAGGTAGTGGCCCCAGCATGCTGGACTTCTGCAGAATAAACAACTTCTGTTGTTTGCAGGCTGCTCAAGTTGGGAAGCATTCTTTCAGCATCTTCTGGACCCTAACACTGCTTACTGGCTTACTTAACATGGCTTGCTCAGCCTGCTTTCATTTTTTTGTTTTGTTTGGTTTTGGTTTTGGTTTTTTCGAGACAGAGTTTCTCTGTGTAGTCTTGGCTGTCCTGGACTCACTTTGTAGAACAGGCTGGCCTTGAAATCACAAAATATAACTGCCTCTTCCCCGTGTGCCATGGGTTTGCCAACAGCCCAATCTTATGGAGGCCATTTTCTCAGTTGAGGTTCCCTCTTGTCACATGACTTCAGCTTATGTCAAGCTCACATAAAATTAGCCAGCACAATTGACCCCTTGTCAGCTTGACACATAACACTTTTTAAGTCATTAATTGTTTCCATTTTTTGGTTCATCCCCAAGATCTCAAATATAAAACACATTACAAACTTAAAAGTACCACAGTCTTTATTTATTAATTCAATACTTTGAAAGTTCAATCTATATAAAAATTCAGTCTCTTTTAAAATCCAAAACTATAAAGTTTTGGATTTTAAAATATATAAAAGTCTATAAAGATATAAAATATATAAGGTCTATAAAGACCTTGTGAACATAGATAAGCACATGAGAAACTAGAAAAGTTAAGTGCACAACTTAACTCTTCAGTAGAATGAGGTGTGTAGCTTCACTCTGGAATGTCAGGAATGATGTAGTTTTACAACCTGGTGATTTTTTGCTGTCTGATGAGACAGGTTCTGCTCACATCACCCAGAATTTAAGCTTTTACTTTTCCCAGACTCTTTCCCCTAAATCTTGAGCATTGCTTTTAGACCATAAAACCCATTCTTACAAGTGATGTTGGTGAGGCCTGCTTTAATTTTTTGCATAACTCTAGACCTGCTTCTGTCTTTAGCATAACTGAAACCATTTTGTTTTTAGTCTCTATTTTGATCATAAGGTGAAAGTGAGTTCAAGGTCTCAGGCTCTACCTGCCTGACACAAGAATAGCCTTTTACTTACAATTCAATACTTGTTGAATGTTCTGTTTGAATTAAAGATAAATGTATGTTCTGTTGGAATTAAACTTCAATACCCTGCTATGTTCCTTTCTCATGGAAAAAGTAGGGAACTGGAAAGCCCTAAGCTCCCTTATTCTATATCCTAGCCAATGTCAACTTAAAATGCTTTTTCTAGCTACCTAGGTACAATGTACTTGGAATAGAATTGTTTCTTCTTGCTTGATTGTGTTTGTGTGTGTGTGTGTGTGTGTGTGTTTCCTTTAAAAATACTCACTTTGGTGCTTGCTTCGGCAGCACATATACTAAAATTGGAACGATACAGAGAAGATTAGCATGGCCCCTGCACAAGGATGAATCTAAACAAACTAAGCAAAAGAGAGGACCCTAACTAAAATGTTCAATCCCCATCCTGAAAGGCAAAGAGGATGGACATCAGAAGAAAAAGAAAATAGGAAACAACCTTGGAACCTGCTACAGAGGGCCTCTGAAAGCCAGAAGAAAACAGGAAACAACCTTGAAACCTGCCACAGAGGGCCTCTGAAAGCCTCTGCAGTATAGACTGTCAAAGCAGATGCTGAGCCTGATGGCCAACTGATGGGCAGAGTGAATGGAATTTTATGTAAGAAGTGGGAAATAGTAAGAGCTGGAGGGGATGGGAACCCCACAAGCAGAGCAACAGAACAGGATAATTTGAACACAGGGAACTTGCCAGAGACTCATACTCCAACCAAGGACTATTCGTGGAGATAACCTAGAACTCCTGCACAGATGTAGCCCATGGCAGTTCAGTGTCCAAGTGGGTTACATAGTAATGGGAAGAGGGACTGCCTCTGACATAATCTGATTGGCCTGCTCTTTGATCACCTCCCCCTGAGGGGGGAGCAGCCTTACCAGGCCACGGTAGAGGACAAAGCAGCCAATTTTGATGAGAACTGATAGACTAAGATCAGAAAGGAGAGGAGAACCTCCCCTATCAGTGGACTTGGGGAGTGGCATGCATGCAGAAAGGGGAGGGAGGGTGGGATCGGGAGGGGAGGAGAGAGGGGCTTATGGGGGGGTACAAAATGAATAAAGTGTAATTAATAAAAAAATTTAAAAAAAATACTCACTTTGAGAACAACTCTTGGTCACAGTCTTGATTCTCAATTCCAGACTGTGTTCCTGACCAGTCAGACTTTGCTAAGCATTCAATAAATTTCTATGTATCTGTTGATATATATTAAAATGCCACACAGCAGATCTGGTATGAAGAGATTTGTTATATGAAGGTGGAGAGAGAGATAGAGGGTTAGAGAGAGATGGGGGAAGGGCAGAGAAACTGAGGCAGAGACAGCGTGCCGTGAAAGGTCAGTCCTTTATATTTGGTGCACAGTTCTTTATATCTGATGCACACAGCATCTGGCACACAGCAGGTGATGACATCAGGTTGCTAGGCAACCTAGAAGTGGGCTAGTGCATCAGTTTCTGAACTAACATTACTTCTTTTTTCTATAATTAAAAAGAATGAAGAGCTTGGGAGGGGTAGTTAGGTGATAATGATGATGTTGTGCTGCTTCTCATGCAAGGCAAGTTAAAGCATATAAATGTTGGTTCACTGGAAGCAGCTCTTGGCCTCCATGCAAGGAGGTAAGAGAGAGATAAAAAGTAAGAGCACTAAAATGTCTGGATTATATGGTGAAGGGGAAGGGGAAGTTCTTGCCCTGGAAAGTTCAGCATAGAGGGTATACCAGCCACGCCCTGCAGCAGATAGAGACTGAGAAATGCTGGGAGAACCTGGAGCTGTTTGTCCTGGGTCTGAAGCACACCATTCCAATCTTTTGTTGATAGTAAATGGATAAGGAGTGAAGATATCAGTTATCTTTGGCTACTTCCTGCTGACATTGGGGCAGTAATAGGGGAGCTAAAAGGTTAAAATGTTGGCCAAGTCCGAGAAGAGCAGGCTGTTGTATTTGCTGTCCAGGATCTGAAAACATCTGCATCTAGGAGGAAAAATGCAGGTCCGGCTCGCACAATCTGTGAGGTTAGACTGGAACGCTGTGGGTAACTGCTTTGGCACTGTCTTGGGTGTAGGAAATCTGGCAGGATACTGGAACACACACACATATGGGTAGAAGACAAAGTTAGGTAGGTTAGAGAGAAATGTTTTTTTAGATGTACATTTGAAATTTTTGGGAGAGCAAGCAGAAAGGGAAGGTTTGGAGCAAAGGAGAGGAACATAGGGAAGCTCCTTTCATTTTTACCAATTGCTGGCAGTAATTAAAAAGGTCCCATATAATACTGGGATCCAAAGAGCCATTAAGCAGAGAATTTGAATCATTATCTAAGGGATATTGAGGTCAAGTTTGATTACAGAGGCATGTAAGCTTAGAAGCCCTTAAAGCAGGTACTAGGCATAGGGACCTGAAATTCTCCAGGTGTTTCAGAGGGGAACATGGATAGATGGGTCAATGGGCCATTAATTACCATAGGGAAAGTGGAGTCAGTGATCCCTCAAGGAGTTCCAAGTGCAAGGTTTGACTTGAGGAAATTGGTACAATCTGTTCCAGCAGCTCATCAGTGCTGGTCAGAGACCAAGGACATTGCCTAGACAGACACAGGACTAGCCCAGACAGACACAGTTTACCTAGCACTAGGATTTTCAGCAGCAGAAGAAACAGTCCTGAAGAGTATCTCACTCAAGGAAATGTCCTAACTGAAGTTCAGCCAGAAGGACCAACTGCAGTTGTGAAGACTGCCGTTGGGGTGCCTTTGCTTTCCAGTAAACCAGAGAGTTCCTGGCAGTGTCTCAGATAAAGTGAAGCATTTACGTTGACCAGGAAGGGGAACTAATCCATCAGCCAATGTTGGGTCCAGAAATGTAGTGATTGGGTAGCTGGAAAGTGGACCAGGAATAGGGTCCCAGGGGCATGATTGTAACCCACAAGTGGGGAACACATTTGGAACTTTTGGACCCATGATTTTGGTAGTTGGAGGAGGGGAATTCCAAAACCAGGGAAAGGGGGAGGAATCCCACCCTCTGAGATAGGCAATAGGTGGGAAACTTAGGCTGTTGATTGACAGTACTTGTCTGGATTCCATTTCACTTGAGAGGTAGATTCAGGTGGATTTTCTCTAGCTTACAAGAATCTTTTTTAAATTTATTTTATTTTATTAATTACAGTTTATTCACTTTGTATCCCAGCTATAGCCCCCTTCTCCCTCCCTTCCCAATCCCACCCTCCCTCTCTCTTCTTCTCCTATGCCTATTCCCCACCCCAATGATAGGGGAGGTCTTCCTCCCCTTCCATCTGACCATAGTAGATCAGGTCTCATCAAGACTGGCTTCTTTGTCTTCCTCTGCAGACTGGTAAGGCTGCTCCCCACTCAGGTGGAGGTGATCCAAGAGCCAGCCCATGAGTTTACGTCAGAGATATATTATTGAGGAACCCTCTTGGATACTGAGCTGTCTTGGGCTACTTCTGTGCAGGGACAAAAATCCTTTTTAAGTTTACAAAGAAGATAAGTTTTAAAATGTTAGCATCACCATTGTTGGTAATCTGCAGTGAAATACACATTGTAGAAAAGGCAGTAGACATACACTTTGTGTTAAGAGCATAAACAGTCTCTACGGTGAGCTCTGGGAAAGAGGGGACCTCTCCCTCTACACAGAATACTGGGTAGCACAATGAGAAACAACTTTTAAGTCTATACTTAAAAGACAAAATTAAGGAAATTTAAAATCTTGAGCTTGGAACCATGATAGTGGACCATATAGTGGAATGCGTTCTATCAGAGTTGTATAGTGGATTTTTTTTTTTTTAAGTCAGAGTTAGATGAATAAATCAGAGCTCTAGTGTTTAATGTCAAAGTTCTGGACAGTCTAATACCACAGTAGCATAGCAACAGGGAAAAATATGAAGCATTTAAAAATTTTTGGATACCTTAAATCACCTTTTAAGACCCTAAAATACTTTTTAGGTCCTCATACCTTAAGCTTTTGTGTCCTTAGGCCTTTTTCCTATTTACCATGAAACACAGGTGAGATTGCTGGGAGTAGTCACTGTCCTTTAGCTAAAGGAATAGTAAAAGGTTACATCTGAGGCCTGTGTTTTGGTTTTGGTAGCAAGGTAGACTGTATCTAGACCTGACAGTAGCAGCTCTAGTAGGGAGGCTTAAGGCCTGGTCTGTAGACATGAAGAGGACTGAGAAGGCATCTGAAGCCTGTTTATCTCAAGCATGAGGTCTGTGAGTAAGGCAAACCTGCCTGCCTTTTTAAGTAAGAGATCTACTTACTTAGTTAGTAGTTTTAGTTGGCAAATGGAGTGACTGATACACTAACACTTGTAGTGAGGCGCTCCCTGCTTGCTAGCTGTCAAGCTACCGTTAGGTCAGCTGTCAGCATAAGCAGAGCACTTGGAGAGATAAATTGTAATCTAAATGAATCTATGTATGTATCAAAATGACAGAGATGACTAGTCAATCCATAGTTCATTACTTGGCAGTTGTCCCGGGTCTCCACATCAACATGGGCATAGACAGTCTGACCATCAGGTGCAGAAGACCTGTGTTGTTGTTTTTTCTGTGGTGGGAGAACATGTGAGAGACTGACCTCACCTCATTTTCAGCAATATGAGACAATAGCTCTTCGGGTGTCCACTTTGTCCACAGTTCAGGCTGGGCCCTTGCAGAGAGCTAGGCTTTGGGAGCAGTCTTGCCCAGTGGTTAGCACACCACAGTCCAGGACTGCAATCATCTGTTGTGCTCGGATCTTCTTGGAGAGCTACTGCAAGGATTTGGAACCCTCATCAGGGCTTGAGAAATGGCTCAGAGGTTAAGAGTACTGCTTGCTCTTCCAGAGGTCCTGAGTTCAATTCCCAGCAACCACATGGTGGCTCACAATCATGAGATCTGGTGCCCTCTTCAGGCATTCAGGTGTACATGCAGATAGAACATTGTATACATAATAAAATAAATAAATCTTAAAAAAAAAAAAAGAAAGGAACTTTCTGTCATAATAAGCTTACACATATTAAATGCCATATTCAGCAGATCTCTGACGGTTTTGAAGTCTGGCATATTTGAGTTAAGCAATCTATGTCTGTATTTAGTTACCTGCTCTAAACTACACCTTGCAAACATAAAACAGAATAGTATGATCTGTGATTGTGTCTTATTTTGTAGGTAAGTATTTGAGGGTCATGTCTATTTTAAGTAGATCTAAATACTAAATAAAGTTTAATCCTGCAATCAATAAAAGCTTATAAACATCTAATGCTGTATCATAGATTAGTAATATTACCATATTCAGAAAACAAGACTGAACATATTTTTAAGGCATATTTTTACTTTTTTTTTTTATATATTTTTAACTTTTTTGAGAGTGAAGATAGAGCATAATGACCAAGCTT